CGCAATGGCTCACGCCTGTAATCCTAGCATTCTGGGAGGCCGAGGCGGGAGGATCGCTTGAGCTCAGGAGTCCAAGACCAGCCTGAGCAAGTGCGAGACCCCGTCTCTACTATAAATAGAAAGAAATTAATTGGCCAACTAATATATAGAGAAAAATTAGCCGGGCATGGTGGCACATGCCTGTAGTCCCAGCTACTCAGGAGGCTGAGACAGAGGATCCTAGTGGCAGGAGTTGAGGTTGCTGTGAGCTAGCTGACGCCAGGCACTCACTCTACTGGGCAACAAAGTGAGACTGTCTCAAAAAAAAAGGGGGGGGGGAATTCTGACACACCCCAATGTGGATGAACTAGAAAACACTGCACTAAGTGCAAGAAGCCAGACACAAAAGGACAAATAACACACCATTTCCCTTCCAGAGGTGGTTACGGCAGATCAGAAGTTACCGGGGCTCAGCAGGGGAGGATGGAGAGCTGTGGTTTAATGCGCGTGGCGTTTCTGTTTTGGACGACAGAAAAATTTTGGAAACAGATGGTGATGGTCGCACAACATTGTGAATGTGATTTTAATGCCACTCAGTTGTATGGACGAAATGGTAAAATAAAGGGCAAGTTTTATGTCACACATATTTTACTGCAATTTTTATCAAAGCCATTATAGACAGACACGTGGAGAGAGGAGCTTCCTGGGTTTGCGTTGAGATGGAATCACTGGCAGACAAGCGTCCAACTGTCCTAGTGCAGTGCAGGAATGGGTGCTGAGCACACCTGAGTGACCAGCACCTGGACGAGAAGGTGGAACACAGCTAGCACAGGACCACTGCAGAGAAACAGAATCGGCTGGCGGTGGCTCACGCCTGTAATCCGCACATCTGGGGGGCTGAGGCAGGAGGATCGCTCAAGGCCAGGAGTTGGAGACCAGCCTGGGCAACCAGCGAGACCCTGACTCCACAAAAAATGTTAAAAATTAGCCGGGCGTGGTGGTGCCTGCAGTCCCAGCTGCTCGGAGGCTGAGGCATGGGGATCCCCTGAACCCAGGCGATCGAGGCTGCAGTGAGCTGGAGATGAGGCCACCACTCAGCCTTGTGCAACAGAGACCGTGTCTCAAAGAAAAACATCATGGAAGAGTCCGCTCGTGTGCAGTGGGATGGAGTTCAGTTTGGAAGGATGAAAAGTTCTGCAGACGAGGCGGCCGCACAGCACGAATGTACTCTACCACCACTGAACTGTGCACTTAGAAGGTGTAAGACGGCAAGTTTGTTATATGTACGTGACTACAACAAAAAAAAAAAGCACCAACTAAGCTAATGCGAGACCGGGTTTTATAAAAATGGCTCCAATCTTCAGAAAAACCCATGTACCGGACCGCGAGTTCAGCGTGAGATCGCCACAGGGCGGGTGGGCAGAGCGCCAGGATGGCTCCCTCGAGGCTCACCCGCCACTCGGGCCGGGGAGGGGTAAACAGCTGGGAGGCGTTGCTAAAAGGCTGGTGGGGAAGGAGGGTGGGGAAACGCTCGACGCCGCCAGGTGCCGGCCAGGCCACGTTCACAGGGGCGCTCACGGAAGTGACCGCTGTGGCACCCTTCCCCAGCTCCCCGATTTTTTTTTTTTTTTTTGAGACAGAGTCTCGCTTTGTTGCCCAGGCTAGAGTGAGTGCCACGTGGCGTCAGCCTCGCTCACAGCAACCTCAAACTCCTGGGCTCAAGCGATCCTCTGCCTCACCTCCGAGTAGCTGGGACTACAGGCACGTGCCACCATGCCGGCTATTTTTTTATAATATTTTTGTTGTTCAATTAGTTTCTTTCTATTTATAGTAGAGACGGGGTCTCGCTCTTCCTCAGGCTGGTTTCAAACTCCTGACCTCGAGCAATCTGCCCGCCTCGGCCTCCCAGAGTGCTAGGATGACAGGCGTGGCCACCTCGCCCGGCCAGCTCCCCGATTTTTAATCTACGCTTCCCCGTGGTCTCTCAGGTGAGCATCATCTCGTTGCTTTCCTGACCGTTGCCATGGCAACCAGAGCGCTGGTGGCCGGCCTCCAGTCTCCAGCACAGATTTTCCACTGAAGCAGAAACACTGAGGGGCCGGGGGGCCCCGGTGGCCTGTCCCCTCCCTGTGGGGTTAAGAGGGGCCGTGGCTCTGCAGCTGCAGGCAGAGTGCCTGCTCCGACTGTTTTCCCGACAAGACAGACCCTCGGAGGCCCCTCGGTTCCGCACAGAGGCCTTTTCTTCTCGTTGATCAGAACACACGCCAGTTTAAATCAAACCACCTGACCACGCCCCAAAGCTGCGAGCACGTGCTCTCGTGGAAGTCGGCCGCGCCAACCGCACCTGGGTTCAGGTGTGAAGACCCAGGGAGCGGGCGCAGCATCCGGCTGCAGCTGGGCCCGGAGTGTGCCTGCCACTGCCCGGGGGACCCCGCAGGCCGGGCCTGGCCCCCCCGCAGCCGACAGCGCCTGGAGGTTCCCATGAGGGTGGGGCCCCGCACACGTGACATGACAGGGGCCAAGCGTGCCCTGCCACAGGGAGGGGGCGTGTCCGCTAGAACAAGGGTCTTTGGGGGGGGGACGCAGAGGGACCTGGCAGCATGCGTGGGCAGAGGGCTGTCAGCCAGTGGGTGGCACCCACCAGGGAAAGGGGCCACAGCGGAGATGCCCAAGGAGGGCTGGGGGAGGACCCTGAGAAGTGACCTCGGGGGGCACAACCGGAGGGAGGGAGGGCTGGCACGAGGGGGTCCAGGAAGACTGCCCACTGGGAAAAGGGGGTGACAGCAGGGACACCCACAGTGGGGCGGTGATGTGGGGGTGACATTGAGGGGGGCAGCAGGGAGGGGCACAGAAGGGAGTAAGGCCAGAGGGAGGATGCAGCGGGGTGCGAACCCTCCTGGGGTCCCCAGCCCCTGCCCCAGGGCACCCCCCCCCAGCGCCAAGACCAAAGAGGGCTAGGTTTCGCCTGACACTAGCTAAAGGGTCTATTGCTCTTTGACACATATTTGTGTTTTAAAATGACAGGTTGGTAGTACACAGGCCCAAAATAGAAATTTCAAGAACCAGTGAACTGAAATATAAGGAGAGGCCCTGTCCTTGCTCTGAAAGGTGGTATTATCTATTTACAAACCCCCGTGGCAACCAGCGTGGACCCGAACACGTAACTCAGGGGGAGGGGCTCTGGCTGTGCCATCTATGCAGTGAGGGGAAGTCCCTCTCCCACAGGCCGAGTGGTAATTACTACGCAAGGAGTCCGGGGGGACAGCCTGCCAAACACTTGCTAAAGGGCTGGAGCAAGTCACATCACGGGCTCCACAAAAGTGACAAACAAAATCTTTAATAAGATGTGCGTGATTCTTACTACGTGCAGGTGTACGCAGGATGCACCGAAAAGAGAAAACACCAAACAAGCACCTACGTCCCACCTACGTCTGTCAGAGACAAGCGGCAAGCCGCTTAGACTGCGTGCTAGTATTTTTGTAATAAATGATTGCTTATTATCTAATTACTACTTGAGCACAGCTTTAAACCACCACCCACAGGCATGTGTCCACGCAGCGCTGGTCACCCCAGTAAGATCTGGACACCACCCTGGCGCCCCCACACCAGGGCACCCTGGCTCGGGAACCCAAACGGCTGTGAAAAGATGCTCTCGTTATACGCACCAAAGGCATCGCCGGCGAACACTGCCAATTAGTCCCCCAAACTCAACTCTGAGACAGGACAAGCTGGGTTACTGGTCTACACACGTCCAGGGGTCCCCGAAACAGGGTCAGGCAGCAGTGGCCCCACTTTCAACTCAAGACACTAGTCTGGGGAGGTGACGGGTCTGGCCACGGGCAATCTGAGACGGAGCCCAGATCCCAGCCAGACAAATGCCTGTCTTCTAAAGACCTGTTTGCAGAAGGCAGTTGCTCAAAAGGCAATTAGATAACCGCATTCCCAGGACTGCACAGAAGCGGAACACCATCGTCCCCGACACAGGCCAGCTACACCATTTGAAGTTTAGTCATCGAGCTGCCTCAACGACAGCACCGTTTAACTATCTGAACAACTTTTCAACGAGTGTGTTATGGTTGGTAACGTGATCACCACAGATCAAAAGTTTACTCCCTGACCTACGACGCATTCTTTTGGAAAATAAAGGAAAGCAGACTTTGCATGGGTCTGTGTGTGTGGTGGGGTGACAGGGGTCCTCCAAAGGAGGGGTCCCCAGAGAACCAGGTCCCTTCACAAGACCAGGAGATGGAGCGGAGCCGCCAAGACTGCAATTGCCACCTCACCTCTAGGCAGGAGTGAGCGGCCCTGCGGGCTCCCAAGCAGCCCACGGGAAGAAAGTAAAACCTCCTGATGCCACCTTCTGCTCATCATGTGGATCTGCAATCTGACTAGTACTCTCCCTGTTTTCCCATTGTGCATATTTCAAAATAAAGACATCTGTTCATAACACCATTAGCAAACTTGTTAAAAAAAAAAACAACCGAAACAAAACCTTGATTTCTCAAACTTTAAAAGTGCTATGTAAATGGCAGTCTCCATATAACTTTCCTATCAATATTTCTTTTAAAAACTAAACACGTAAACATCAAGAAAGGAAACGTTCCAGACACATTCTACGGTGTGAACCAATATTCCAACAGCCTCTGCCTGGAAAGCAACCAGGTAGCACCCAACGGCCCCACTCCTGAAACCGCGCCTCTCGGGGCCTGTTCTGATGCGGCCGACTTGGAGAACTGCGCGGAATCAAAAGTGGGAAATGAATCCAGATCGGTTTGACTCACACGAGGGTTATCCCAGACACACGTAACCCTTCCCGAACTGGCCCCCAAACAGGCAAATGTCCCCCCCACCGCGATCACTCGTCACTGGAAACCACAGGGAACACGCGACCTGCCTCCCAGGTGCCAGGTGTCGCGAAGAACCTGGAGCCGCAGGCGCCACGGCCAGGGCCACGGCCAGGGCCACGGCCAGGGCCACGGCAGGGGTGGAGGCGCCCGAGCCCCGCCCGCCCGGCCACTCACTCGTCGCCGTCGGGGCACACGCCGGTGGCCTCGTCGTACTTGGCGCAGTACACGTCCGGGCTGTAGTTGAAGGTGCCATCGCGCCTGCGGAGGGGTCTGCGGCGACGCTGATTTAGGAAATGCCAATGGAAACAGGTAAATGGCCTGTGCTGGGTGCACTTGTGCTGCAAAAACAGGGAGCACTGCTCTGTCCTAAACTCCTTTAGATACCTAAAAAGACAAACAGCGTTGCGGGTCGCCTCCACCGCCGCCGTTGGGCGGCCAGGATCGAGGGCGGGGGCGGGACCGGCCGGCCGGGGCCTGACGCCCCCCACTTGAAGTCCAGATGACCCCACCGGCTGTCCCCGCAGCCCGCTGGGCGCTTACCCGCCCCTGGGCACGGTCCCGACCCCCGGCAGGGTCCCCGACCCCAGGCGTGCCGCTCAACCAGGGCGCGGCCCCCGACCCCCGGCACGGTCCCGACCCAGGACACCGTCCCCGACCCTGGGCACCATCCCCGACCCCGAGCGCGCCCCTCGACCCTGGTGCGGCCCCCGACCCCGGGCACCGTCCCCGACCTCGAGTGCGCCCCTCGACCCAGGACATCGTCCCCGACCCCGGGCACCGTCCCCGACCCCGAGCGCGCCCTTCGACCCTTGTGTGTCCCCCGACCCTGGGCACGGTCCCGACCCCGGGCACGCCCCTCGACCCGGCACACCCCTCGACCCGGCACGGTCCCCGACCCCGAGCAGGATCGTCGACCCCAGGCGCGCCCCTGGACACGGGAGCGCCCCGTGATCCGGGCATGGTCCCCGACCCCGGGCACGGTCCCTCAGGCGCAGGGTCCCCCAGGCGCACCTCACGACCCGAGTACGGTCCCATCCCGACCCCGGGCGCACCCTCCGACCCCGGGCGCACCCCCAAGCCCGGGGCGCGGTCCCGACCCCGGGATTCCCGGATTCCCACTCGGATTCCCGACGGGCTCACGCGCCCCCACCCCGGCCACGCTCGGAGCCCCGACCTCAGGCGCCGCACCGCGACCTGGGAGCCGGACGCCCAGCCCGGCCCGCGCCCGGCGCTCGCAGACCCGGGCGCCCGCTCCGACCTCGGGCGGCCCCAGCCCGGGTCCCGCGGCGCCGAGGCCCGAGCGGCGGCGGGGCGGCAGGAGGGCGGCCCGGGCCCGCCGCGGCGACTCCCAGGCCCCGGCGCGGGCGCGCGGAGCGAGGCGCACGGGGCCGCCCCCTGCAGCCCCGCAGCGCCGCGGAGGCCCCGCGCGGGCACTGACCTGTAGTGGGTCGGCTTCTCGGTCTGCGGGGGGGAACCGCTCAGCGCCGCCGCCGCCGCTTTCGAAACCGACGGCATTTTCAGTCAAAACAATGCAGCGCGCATGCGCCGCCGGCCGCCCCCGCCGGCGCTCCCCCGGCGAGCCCACCGCGCCCCGCCCGCCGGCCACGCCCGGCCACGCCACACCCACCCGGGCCACGCCCACGCCACCCTCGGCGCACGGGCCGCGGCCGCCGAGGCTCCCACCCGGGCGGTGGGGCGGGGCGGGGTCTAAAGACGGCGGTGGCTGCCCGCGGCAGGACTCCAGACCTCCGAGTTGTGCCCTAAGGAAGGGGCCCGACCGTCGTGACTTCCGTCCGGGGAGACGCGCGGTCGCCGCAGGCTCGGAGGGCTGCGGGCCAGACCTGCGTGAAAATAACGTGTTCCCGCCAGGTGGCTCGGCGCCTGCACCCCCGGCACCGTGGGAGACCGAGGCGGGAGGATCGCTTGAGGCCAGGAATGGGAGGCTGCAGTGAGCTGTGGGACACCACTGCACTCCAGCCAGGGCGACAGAGCCAGACTCTGTCTAAAAAAAGCTCCCATTTAGTTAAAAGCAAGAGAAAACACTTTCATAGTTGCTCCAAAATGTAAGTTATCTTCTGAAAATACTCATAGTAAAGTAACGAAAGTTATCACGCCCTGGCAGGATTTCTTCATATGTTCGAATTGTCTAAAAATTATTACATCTATAACATTACATTAAATCTTGAAATTAAAATGATAAAATTAAGAACATTTTCATACATAAACCAAGCAGGAGAATGAAGTGAGGAGGAACAGGACCCAAGAATTCTCCAGAGGAGTAAGAAACAGATCTTGGAGATCGTTCACAAACCATTTCCTCTCCTGCCCAACAATTTAACATCTTGCAAATCAAATCCGTGCAACTGCTTCTGTCCCAGCATCCTTACAACGGCCTCCCTCCTTGCTGAGCACTTATCTGGGGTGTCAATCTCTTTT